ATTAAATGTACACCGCTTCACAACGTGCATACAGTCTGTACAGCAGAATAAACAAGATTACAGAAAAGCTTACGAGGGAAGATTTGAATCTGCATGCACACCTCAAGCTGTTAGTAAGTGAAGAGCAGCCCTACAATTACCTTTTTGCTTCAAATATTCACTTAGCTTCCTTAAACTGTTTTGTAAACAGTCTCGTGGTGCGAAATTATTACTGTTTTTTGGTGATTTTATGATTAGATACTTGTAACAATGTTGCAGACGGCAATGTTGTCATTTTTATTTGACCGCATCGTGGCAGTGTTGTCTCAGTGTCTGTCTAAAATCAGACAGTTTTTCTGTTTAGCTGTTTGTTATAGTAGTTTTCATTCAGATCAGCATCTTCTTTGATGAATAGTTCTCATCGATATTCATGAATCGGGTCATTTAAAAGCACAGAGGTCAAATACGCTCAGCTGACAGCCATAGAAGTTACCACTAGTAAGGGATTCACATTCGCTAGCCTGCATTGACTCAGCTACAAAAAGTGCCCAAATGGTTTAGTTTCTTATTACCAAAAACTTCAAAGCAACCTCCTTCATGGCGAACGTTGTCATTCAGCTGTGCAATAACCTAAAGAAGTGGCTGTAATTAGAAATTGCTGTTCTGACTCAGTGAAAACAAGTCTAGACTGAGAAAAAAATATATGAATTCTAAATTTGTGTTATTTCTAAACAGGCTCTGTAACAGGTTACAAAGGACATTTTAAATCTTGGTAGAGCCAAAGTATGTCAGGTTTGTCCCTTCACATGAGGATTCCTTGTTTAGCTTCTCTGTATTTCAGTCTCATTTTCCTCATATTGTATTTCAGCTTATTTACTCCAAATTGTAATAATCATTCTTTAAAATGCAGCTTCCATTCAAAGAGTTGCCCATATGGATGGTTGCCAACATGTTTGAGCTCTCTCAGCGGGCAGAAAGATGCCCATCAGTCTCTCCTGTACTTTTCTATTTATATAATATTGGAGTGAAAAATCTTCTTGTCAGCAAATATCAGACCCGCTGAAGCGTTCTCAGCCAAGGACCGAACCTGAGCACCTTGAGCGCTGATGATGCATATACTAGCTGACACCTGACCTCTGAGTGGCAGTCAGGTGTCAGCTTCTGTACATGAGGATTTAACTGCAGTTCAGTCAAGACCAATATAATCAAACGATGATTGTTATTTCCAGCTGTAGTGATTTATATTTGGCTTTTATGAGCTCTGAGAGCATCAGCCATCAGAACAGAGCAGGCAGTAACAACATGCATGACACTGGCTAAATTATTTACACGATGAAAGAGGAACTGCAGTGGACTGGGCTGCAGAGTGGCTTGCAGAACTTCGTGCAGGCTAAAGCAGTTTAAATGTGCACCCTGTGTGAGATTTACCAAGTCAGTGAGTAGAGATGAATCAGCGGCACCATCAGCTGATTCATGGGAATAATGAGGATGATTTAATGTCCTGTCATTATGCACAATTAAGCAAGGATTTCTGTGTAAGGATCATAAAGTCTCACACTGCCATTTTTACATGAATGTGTTGATTTGTATAAAAACAACCTTGATGTAGAGCTTTCTCCAATCACATTGTGTCTCTTCTAACTGCAGCAGGTGCTGCATCAGAGCAATGCAGAGACTGATACAAGGAAACGGTAGTTCCCATCCATATGGCGTCCAGTTACACACACACACACACACACACACACACACACACACACACACACACACACACACACAC